CAGTACATAGGCGAAGGCTTACCCGGATGCGCCACCAGCAGAAATCCACATTTTTGCAATGCCAACTGCGATGCCGTTTGACACTAATTGATGCCATCACGGCCACTTTTGTGCCATCGCAATCACTGTGCACATCACTGTGCCGTCACGTGACGGCGCCAATTTGTGTCAAAATGGCGTCGCAGCTGGCATCACAAACATGCCGTTTTCTGATAGTGCATGCTGCACATTATCACAATATCTCTGCTGGCCTGGCCTCCACTATTGTATCTTTGCTTCAACCTGCACTCTAAAACGCAACTCTGAGTCGCGTCACTTTGCGCAGTGAGGGGAATTGCAAGGCGGCATGGGCCATGGATCAAAAGCGGGCTGTTTCAGAGCCAACTTGAAACGCTTGGCTGAGTGACCTATTTTCAAAATGGTATTGCGGATTTAATACTGAGCCAATTGAGTCAAAAAAAATTTGGGAACACAAAGTAGACTCAACTAGAACGTTTTGCCAATTTTGCGCAAATCTGAGATGACTTGGTAGGTTTTTCAGGCCCACGGCTCATAGCTGCAATTTAATTTGGGATGGAGGAAGTAATGTAAATGAAGGAATTCGGCGTTCCACTTCCCAGCTGGTGGCGAGGCAGTATATGGCGAGCAACAACCAACAAGCAATGTTACATTTGTTGGAATACGAAACACCCCCAACGAACCAATGTAAATGCGCCACCTTGGCAGTCAGGAAGAAGAAAAAGAGACCACCCACAGACATCTGTCCACAGCTGCCTGGATCCCAAAATCGTTTTAGTATCTTGTTCTTGAAGTTAGTATACGCGTCCGTCACTCCCTACAAGTACAACTACACCGCTTTGCTCTGCCGAAGGCAACTTTAAAGGATTGCACGATCCTGGATCCTACAACGCCGTCGCTCATCCGCCTCCCCGGGAGCACCGCCTCACACCGCACGGCCTCGACACCTCACTGCGCACACGATGTAGCCTCGTTGCTCCCCGGCCTGATTGTACAAGGCTGCAACATCTTGACCTCACCAACAGCTTTGCGCGGCACCGCGTCACACCTCGTGAAACGGTGTCAGACGGCGTCACACGCTTGCAACGCTCGCTGAGCAGCCACCCCGGGCTGGCCCTCAGAGCAGCGACCCGCTAACGAAGCCCGCTGCCCTCCTCCGTCCCCCCCACCTGTTCCTGAGAAAGCACGCCCCGTCCCTTCGCCGCCACGACCACAGGAAGCATCCCCGGTCGTCCCGCTGGCACGCATCGCAGCAGGCCCGCGCGCTGCCCTCCCTCTGGCTGCGGAATCCGCCGCCTATGGTGGGGCCTCGGAACGCCTGTCCGCCGATGCTCTTGCACGGGAAGGACTGGACGAGGTCTTCCCGCGCCTCGGGGTCCGAGCCGAATGAAGGAGCCGGACATCCTGGGACAAAGCATCCGTGCTCTTCGAACGGACACACGCCCGGTTGCCCGGACACGGAGGACGGATAGAAGATGCGGTCCGGGGAGGTTTCGACCTTCAGGGCGCACAAGGTCGTGAGGATAAAAGTCTGGGACCAGGAGCCGCATCGGCCGTCCGCTGAGCATGCCTGGCAGCACTGGGCGGCGCTGACGTTGGCGATGACCTCGAAGGGGGGCTGGCCATCCAGCTTCATGAAGCATCCGTCGAAGCAGGTCCCAAATGGGGGACCGAATGCCGGCTCCGGCTCCGCGACTGCGTATGGGAGGCCGGTTGGGGCGGATGCTGCCCTGGCAGAAGCCGCCGGCGCCCCCGCGGCAAGGATGCCCAGTGCCAGCGCGAAGGATGCGATTCTCTCGATGGGTAGGCTAGAGCGCGCCATGGCGGTCGGGGGAGAGCAGGCAAAGAGGGGCGCAGGGCGACTGAACTCGGTGTGCGTCCTGTTGAGCAGGGCTGGGCTGCGACAGGACTCCGCGCTGGGGCCTTTGTGGGCGCGGATGTGTGTGGGGCCGTGTGGTAGTTGGGCGGATGGCGGTTGTCACACGTCCTGCGAAGGACCGTTATCCCGCCGGTATCCGCGCCCCCCCGCAGCACCGAATCCGTGGGCGAAGGCCGCCCGGTGCGCGGCATGTGCTGACGCCGCGTTGGTTGCCGCGGCATAAAATTACTCCCCGTTCTTGTTTGCTGGTATTCGGTTCTTGTTTTCGGACACCGTAAGCCCCAACTACTGATCCACGCACCGGGACTGGCCTTGTCAGCGGAACAAGAACCGAATCTCAGCAAACAAGAACGGGGAGTAATATATTCTCGGTTGCCGCAGGTGGCTGATGTGCCGGCAGGCGAACGTACGTCCGCCTGCACGTGCACCGGGTTTAAACGCTTTGCATGACATCGAACCCACCACGTAAGCGCGGTCACGGCGGCGGGCTGGCTGGAATGAAGCGGTAGTAGGAGTCGGTGGGAGCTGCAGTTAGAGCAATTGTACAGGTTGGTGGGAGTGAGACGCCGCCCAAGTCAGCCTCATACCACTATTGACACGGACGCACGCTGTACGCCATCGCTAGCCAAAGTCACTGCCCGAGTGGCGTGAGCAGCACTGGATCGATTATGGTGAGAGCTGACAGGAGAATGTCATCTTGCCGCTGGACCAACACTCCATCCGATCGCCTACACCAATCAACAATCACCACTGATCGGCAATCACCACCAACTCCTCTCCACCAATCACCCCTTCATGCTGGATCTCACTGGACGCCGTCCAAATCGAGGCTGGGTTTCCAAGTTGTTGGGCGATTGGCCCGAATTAGGTCTGTTTGGCCCTGAAGTGGAAGGCCTCTGGGGCGGAGTGAGGACTTGGTGGCCCAAAGCGAACGCATGGAGCGCCCATGTTTGAGGCGCTGCTCATGCTTTGGCTCATGCCACACGTTGCCTATGCTCGCCTGTACGGTGTAGGGTCTCTGGGTCGTCGGAAGCCTCATAGCTGCTTCTGTGCCCGCGCTGCTGGAACCAAGGGGCTTGATGGCTATTGTTAGGTTATGGTCCGGAACTTTGTGCGCAGGGGAGGGCCGCTCTCGCGAATGAATCCGGTGGGGAGGAGATGGGGTTGCGTTGCAGCGCGGCACAACCAGGCGCTCTTTTTGACTACCAGGATGATTCCATCACGACAATGATGTTCAAGAAAAGCACTGAAATTATGAGAACGATATCACCATGTTCGTCAACATTGCCGCAGCACATGCGCGAAACAAATATTGTCGTGAGTGGCAAAGGTCAGGCAAGGAGCCAGCATATTGAACTGAGGATGTGCACTGTAATTAGCCTTGTGACGTGAAATGCAAAAATGCCAGGTACAAAATGGTCTCCACAAGAGTAGAAACGCAGAAATTTTGATTTATATATCGTTTTTGCCGCTGTGGCAATAGTGATTTGATGCCAGGGCAGTGTTTGCCACTCCGTGGCCTCTCTGACCACGGGATTCGCGCATCGAAACCACATGTACTGGTACAAAACACCATCTTGAGATGCCAACGGCGACTTCATTGACGGTAATCGATGACATCACAGCTACCTTTGTTCCATCGCAATCACTTGGATGCGCAACTTCGCGTCCCGTATAGCATCTTACTTGCCATCGCCAGCATGATCTTTTCTGCCAGCGATAGCGGCCTGTCGATGGATCACTGAGCAGTAGTGAGGAGTGACGCGCGCTGAACGGTTTGCATCTTGTGCTCCGGCGACACGCCATGCGTCCCACAATTGAAAGCTCCAGGAGTTATCATCAGGAATGATCGCAGACTTTGGCGCAATATTGTAGCTGCATCACCGTTGACTTAACGCCGAGCAAGCCTTCGACAAATACCCGTGACTTAATACGGACAGCATTAATGTGTGTACGTGTGTGCCAACGCTGCATCAATGCTGATAAGTTCATCAGATTAAACTGGCCATGCCACACAGTTGCTCGACGTTGGATCAATGACACTGCGCATGCAGTACAGCAGCTGCATCAGCACCTGGCGTTCCCCAGGTTGCCCAAAGGGGCAATGCCTGCCCCAGCACATGGGCCGGAATGAAGTCTTAGCAAACTCAACATTGAAAAAGCCATTGGAAAGACAAAAACATGAAAATAGCGAAATATTGAAATTTGCTGCCATGCACGTCGCGTGCCGTGCAGCCATCGATTCATTTACACAATGAGGCACAATCACGTCGATGAGTTGGTCGATGGATGAATCCCGCATTTGCACAGGCAGGATGATAAAAACCTAATAATTATTGTCTCCAACTATCGCCAGCCCGCACCGCCAGCAGTTGAGGCTCGCGAGCTCCCGCGGCGGTCACTGACTTCAGCATAACGCTCTGTTGACGCCATCGTCAACCGGTCGCAAGAGCGCCAATTGGCCCAAGAGTGGCAAAAGGCATCTTGTGCGAAACTCAGAGATGCAATCACGCTGTCGCTTGGGCTGCAATCTGCAGCCCAAAGTTGTCTATTCGAACAGACCTCTCGTAGATACGTGAGAGACAGGACATCTGAATTGGATGAATTTCTCCACGGCATGGAAATCAGGTCTCACCCAGCTACGATTGTGCTATTTCCGCCCAGTACAACGCCCGTATTTGACGGGAACAGACAAGAAAGCCCACGAAATTTGCAGCCCCTCCTCAACGCAGCCGATGACACGTTTGCAACAGAGGCAAACCAAATGAACAGGCTTCGAGCGAATATGGAGAGATGGGCTGCGTCTTCTCCTCACGCACACCGCAGCATCTAAGTCAAATTCTCGCAGGTCGTTTGAGCTCCCTTCGTTGACCATCAAGCAGCGGCAGCTTCTCCTTGAAATATGCAGCATTCCCTTTACCGATATCTTTTCCTGCCTGTCAACGCAACTTGCCAAAGCACCTAAAAATTTATATACCAAAAAAGACATGGAGATCGAATCATAGCTAGTCCATTCAAACACCCACAGGGGCGCCGCCCGGACCAAGTAGCCCTAGTTAGTACAGATTGATCATATGTTAGTACCAAAGCGGCGACTATTCCATTAGTGATATTGCCCTGGCGGCAGCAGGGAGTTGGTATCCGACCGATCTTTCCGCACGGCGCTCTTCACCATTCTTACCAGCCTGCCAGAAGCACAGATCAAATTAATCAGGCGCAGACCACAAATAAGGGCAATAAATATGAATATATGATTACATAGTTAATAGCATGGGTGAAGCATCGTTGAATTCACACATTTATTCTTAGCTAGTTTTGTTCACATGAAACATTAATACACTATTCGTATTTATTCATACACCCCTTCAAGGACAGAATTTATTAAGAGCTCTTGGAATTGTATGCACACCGTCAACAACAAGAAGTGTGCTCTCTTGGCGCCAGCGCAAAAGTCATTCCTCGTGTTTTGGCACCTTTCTACAGTGTCGCCACTACACAGCTTTTAGTGATCGACTCTATAGTTCGTAGTGGTCAATAAAGCAAGGGCAATCTAATTCGTAATTCGCCGTTTGGCAACAGGCGCATAGATGTTCCTGACCTTCCCGACAGGCTCCTCGCCTTGTTGCCAACGCTGCGCCCCATCTCGATGACCACCAGCTTCGGCTGGCCCCCCATCCTCTTGACGGACCTCTTCACCCCCCTCCGCCAGCCCACCAGGCCGGCTCCCGCGTCACCCCTTTTTTCCTGCATCCCAAGCAGCGAGTTTTTTTCCTCCAGGCCCACCGACGCGCTGCGGTTCTCGGGGCACAGCCGGAGGCCCTTCTGGGAGTCCAGCCGCTGGTGCGAAGCGACGGCATCCATGCCGCCTTCGGTCCCTGCACCTGTGATGGCGATGACGCATGTACTTGAGCTGCACCTCGAGCGCTTAACAAAATGCACGTTGGTCGGACTGGTGGGGTCCAGAAATCTTGGTGGTTTTGTGAGCACTGCACTTGCAGGGTATATTTACCCCAGTTGCTTCATTATTTTGCAATTCTCACCAAACGGAATTAACGCTTCATGCTTGACGAACCATTGAAGGAAATCTTAATGAAGCATGAACGGAGACGTTGAACGAACCATCAAGGATGGTTGACTTAGGGATGAATGGGGTGAAGTGGGTTAATTCCTTGAAATTCCCAAAAAGAAAGTATATGTTAATTCCTTGAAATTCTTAAAAACGAAAGCGTAGGGATTTCCTTCGAGGGTTGCAGAAGCTGGCGACGCCCCGTTGGCTACCAGAGGCGCCCGGCGTGGCCCCCATGCCTTTCCCCTGCCATCCTGAGGCCGCCCTGTTTTCCCTCGGTCGCGCGACAGCACCGCCCTCGCTTCGATGCGCGTCGTGCGTCCAGCCGCCCGTCGCCGCCCTTCGGTGACATCTCGCGCAGCATGGTAAAACGGATCGACGGCCCCCGGCGTGGCTGGCAAGATTTGAAAAGGGGATCGCTGCCCTTGTCGCAAGAGCTGGGCCTGCGAAGTGGCGGCCTTCGAGGCCAGTTTGCCGTCGAGGATGCCGTTTCTGGCTTTGTGGAGAGGCGTGTCAACAAGGGGCTCTTCTCGGCTGGGCCACCGCAGGGACATTGGATCTCGCACCCTCGACAGTCCTTACGAGGCCCCATGGGAGCACCTTGCTCAATAGGGAGCGCCCGGTGGGTGCTACCCATGGAATGCCATGCTTCCCCGCCGGATGAGAAGGCAGCCAAGTGGCGTGCGATCGATGGCCTGGACCGGGCCAGCAACGGAAAAGTCGAAAAAAAACGCTCGGCGGCGCACCGCAGCCCTTTGCACGGGAATCTGTACCGGAATCGGATCTCTGCCCAGATCCGTCCGCGCCCAACCCTCCCCCTCTCACGCGGACCGAGAGATCCGCGCACAGCCCTTGATTCTCCGCGGGTCGGTGGGATCGCGAGTCAAGCCAACGCCCGCGAAGGAGAAAACGTTCATCAAAACGCCCGCATAAAAGCGCGAGAAACGCCCGTGAGGAAACAACATCCTTGTCCCCCTCCCTGCAAAATCTCAGCCTCCGCTGCGCCGTGCAGCGAACGCCGAGCCGCGGCGGCGCACGGCTCCAGCCTCGGCGGCGCTGATCGTCGCCAGCGACTCTTCGCGCCACTGGCGGGCACTTCATGCGCCCCTCCTCCCCGTGCCGTCGCTCGTCCCAACTTTCTGGCCAGCGCTCCTCGACTTTGCCGCCACGTCAGTTGTTCACGACGCCCGCCGTTCCCCATATCCATGCTGAACACCTCGCCAGCTCTACCCGATCCAAGTCAACATCCCCATCCCAATCCCCCCCACCCCCCCACCACCTACACACCGCTCTCAACTCTTCCGAATATAGAAAGTCTCTTTCCAGCCCGCCTGCCAACCTCTCACATCCCCACCTCGGAATCCGTTCATGGCTCCTGAGCTGAAGCTGCCCCGTGTGTCAGTGGGGTCGCTACTTGTGTCAACGCCGCCGCCGCCTGCAGCCCACGCCCCTTAGCTACCGCCCCTGCGTTGTGATGAGCGGCCCCCTGTCGCGCCAAGATAAGTACGAGCCCCGGTCGCCAACAATCGAGCGGAACCGATGAGTGACTGCCCTTCCGCCCGGAGGGAGGCATCACAAGGAACAAAATGGGTCTGGCGCAGAAAAAGACGCGCGAGGAAAAAAAAGGTCTTGATGTCCGATTGTACTTTGTGGACCGCGTCGTTCACTAAATTACAGCGAGGAATTTGAAGCGTCACGATGCTTTGGACGGTACTGAACAGCGCCCGGTGGGTGCTGCATTTCGCTCGCTGACAAATTTTTCCTCTTTAGCAGTTTGTGCACCGCAGTCCCCCAAAGCAATGTCCACTAAGCTGAACAGCGCCCGATGGGTGCTACATTTTGCTCGCTGATAATTTTTTCTTCTTTAAGCAGTTTGCGCACCGCAATCCCCAAAAGCAATATCCACTAAGGCCCTCGCCCCCAAAAAGGTCGCCAAAATTCGAGCAGAACCGATGAGTGACTGCTCCTCCGCCTGGCCAGAGGCATCACGTGAGCCGAAGGGCCAGGCGGAGAATACTGCCACAGGGCAACAACAGTTCTGGATGTCAGAAGGCACAGATTGTCCCGTAGCGTTCGTTAAATACGGAGAAGAATGTGAAGAAAGCCGGGGGTGCCAGGAAAGTCGTTCCGATGTCCTAAAGTACTGGATCGCCTGCATCGTTGGTTGTGGTAACGCGGAGAATGTGGAACGCAACGTCGCTTTGGGAAGAACTGGGCGACGCCAAGATGGTGCGGCATTTTCTTGGGAACTTATTCAACTCCATACCAAATGATATTGAATCCAGTGCCAAATTCCTGTCGTACCAAGTTAAATGGAAACTAGCACCAAACAATATTGAATTTAGCACCAAACTGCCAACGTACCAAAATTAGTACCAACGCATATTGAATCTGGTACCAACTTCAGGCAGGTACCCAAAATGTTGAACCAGTACCAATTAGTCATCAATTCGCCTCCGCCATACAAGGTTCATGAACCCTAAATCAAGCACAAGCCTACTGCTGGTCGCAGGGCCGGTTGCAAGCTGCCATTCGATGTCTTACTGGTACTGGATTCGACATATTTTGGTGCACCGTTCAACATTTTTGGTGCAGGCGCGAACTTGTTACCAGATTCAAATTCATTTGACGTTAATTTCAATTTCAATTGGTACAGTGGCAGTTTGCTTAACCAGACCCCTTACTGGAATTACATTTGGCGTGGCTCGACCACAGTACAGCGTACAGCACTGTGCGTGGGCATTCGCGCTTCTGGGCCTTGTCGAGGCAGGGCAAATGGCAGCGGGCCAGGGGCTGGCCGTCCTTGCGAGGGGGAGCGACCGCGGCGAGAAGCTGAGGACTTTGCTGCAGGCGATAGTCCTTGGACACTTGCGGCGATTGAAATACACACAGGCGCAGGGCGGCGTGGGGTTGTTATGGGGGGGGAGCTGGGCTAGCAATCAACTGACCGGCGTGTCCGGTGAGGGATCAGAGGCGTAACTGGCACAACAAGCTGTAAGCGCAGAATCGCTGGCTTCAGCAGGAACAGTGTCTCCCACAGCCGCTGGTTGCCAGTGCCTCGTCTCTGGTCTGGTACCCGCAATTGACCAAGCTGACCTGGTCAACCCTCCAAACCATTGCCATGATGCCTGGGCGTCACCAAGGCGTCGCGGACGACAAATCGCTTTGGCAAGGCCATAGGCGGTGTTTGGGTGGTATCCATCGCCACACCCGTTCCCTAGCGTCGCCTTTGGTGACGGGTGCCAAGATCTGGCTGCCTGCCGATGCCTGCGGCCAGATGCCAGGCCTACCAGCCTGCCAGTGGCAGGCCAGAGAGCTGTTTTCGGTTGGCCGCCAACAGCGCAAAGGAAAAGGGGGGGAGCACAAGCGCCGGGACAGGTGAGACCGGCGTTCCCCTCGAACTGCGACTTGATGTTTGTTGTAGCACGCGCAAAAGATCAGGCAACACAGGCCGTTGACTATATGGACGGCACTGTGCGCACAAATTTCGTGGCCTTCCTTCTTTGATAAGAATGGTGTCCACCTGCCGTCAATGTGGCAACAACAGATGTCCACTTTGGGACGCGCACCGTCGGTCACAAGGCGACCTGATCAAGGGCCCGTTGTGGTAGCTGTTCGGCTAGACCTTGAGAAACCTCGAATTTTTTGGCCTGAATCAAAAGGGTTCAAAGTATTTCCATGTGGCCGGTACTTATCCATTATCCGCAAAAATTCGGAAGTACATTAAAGTGTGTAGGCAGCACCTTGGTCTAATTTTGAAGGAAAACTAATACGTTTATGATACAAATGCATTCTCTTAAACAGACTATTTCGTTTATTTCTGGACAGAAGAAATAACAACATTTGTTGATAATGTTAAGCCACACAGTACTGCCAATCTGCAAGAGAAGGCTATCCCATCCATTTGATTCGCAAGGAGCATGATATTGCACCAACTGCAATTGACAAAGTTTATAAAACATGGGGTACAACGCTGATTGCGCATCTGCGCTATGGGACATGATGCCCTTGATGCCAATAGCACTGATCGCGGATGAACTGGGGTCCAATTCTGTTGAGCGCACTTTCCGGATCAGCCTTGCCAACGTTGCTGGTGGCAAGACAAGTGTACTTGGAGGCAGTATTGTGGGTGTTGGAGAAGCGCTTTGGGCGGCATTGTCAGCGCTGAGGCACTGCAGATCCCTCCCAGCATTTCTGCCAAGCTGTAGAATGTGATGAAGGATACGCTCAAGGGGGAGTAGGACATTGATACGTAGTCAGAATTCAAGATGGCAAAGTCCTATGCATTTAGCATTATGCATAACGTTTACACACAGGCGGAGATGGACAGGAAGCAAATTTTGGGGGCCATGTCCACCAAGTCCAGAAACAAGCATAAAAACCTGAAAAAAAGTCTGGAGGCTTTGATATTACGGCTGTCGCCAAGTGCTGTGGGCCTCTACAGGGTAGAGATGGTGATGGTGCAGGGTTTTACAGTGTTCCGAATGTGTGATATCATACTTTGGGTATGTTTGACATGTTTAATGGATCTGATTGAGGTGTATATCAGTGTGTTTGGGATTTGAGACTGACTTTTGAATAACATGATTGTGAGAGGCCTGATTCTGCTGGACAAGTCTTTTCAAAAAATTCCCCACCTCACATCATTCACCACCTCTAAGTTAGCCACAATCTTACTACCCAAAAAGATGATGTTGGCGCCATAGCTGCCTGCTTGTGGTGGCACCTTGCCGACCGCGCGCATCTGGAACACGGGAGGCTAGGGCGGACTGGCCATGGCAGTGGGAAGAAATAT